TTTCTTGCCCACTTCTTATGCAAGTTATGAGAAACGGATGTGTAATGCGCACGCAGGGTTGCCTCCCGGTAGGCAGGGCAGGGTGGAAAGTCGATAACGCTAAGGCAAGCCATTTCAACCCTATGACATGGAATGATTGCAATAACACCCCCGAACCATTCAGATGGATGGTTGGTTGGGTGCTTGCTGCACACATCCACCACACACGCGCTTAACGTTTCGAGTCATGCAATGTCGTGTTTTTCGAGGTGCGCAGACTGATGTGTAACGTGGGCGGCAATTGTCCCGCTCAATTGATTGATTGATTGATTGTATTTGTTTCTTTTTGCCTAGTCAGTTGATTTGGCTTGATTTGATTGACTCTCAGTCACTAAGCCCAGGGGAATGAATGGATCCAACGCGACTAAGACAACTCAGGCAATCTAGTCCAGTGGGGACTAGACTAGTCTGGGCAAGATGGCACGCGAGGATCTCCGGAAAGAGGAGATTCCAACTTGGAACTTTCTCGCTCTGGGAGATGCCATCAGCCATCTTAATTCTTGGCTGGTTCGGACCATGAGAATGACTCTCCGTGCTTACAGAGTGTGATTGAGGAAGGACAATGCGACCGACAACGCTTTGGGATGTTCTTATTTTCCCCTTCTCTTTACGAGCCCACCTGACAGATCCATCTATCCTCCCCAGCCTTTCATCTGCCTTCATCCTTGGTCCATTCGCCCTTGTCGTCATCGCCCTGACCTTTTCCCTTGGCCGAGTCGAGGAACGATCAGGGTCCAAGCCATGGAACCACGGCGAGAAAATAATGCTGCGCTTTGAGTGACCTCCAAGATTCTTAAAACCCTCCAAGTGGAGGCCTGCCAAATGCCCGCCCCGCTGGCTCGGGTTGAAGTCATATCGGATTATTCATTCTTAGTTGGATTATTGCTACCCCATTTTCTTCCTTAATTCTTCCCTAATCTACTTGGTATCAGTATTTTAGTCTTCCCCTCCCAAAAAATCCTCCCTCCCCAATTTCGCTACGGATCGGCCGGATCGCCGGCTGGGGTCAGCAAACAGTCATTCCGTTCTTGAACTATTCCTTATAATTATCCCCGAGGGCTCGCTTCGCTTTGCTCAAGTCCCCCCTCCTCCCCTTCCCCCCTCCTCTCCCCTCCCCTCCCCTCCCCCTTGACGTTAACTTGCTCTACCCTGGTCGGTGTGTTACAAGGTCATTGGTTAACCCCAATATAACCCGGACAACCGAACCCGAAGGTGCCATTATCTCCGGGACCAACGGCCAAGGACCGTGAACGATCTAAATCAGAGCATGCGATCATAGCGCTGTGTGTGTGGACTTCATCCCTCGGCGCATTGGCGGCAGCCTTTCTTGTTCTCTTTCGTCTTTCTCCCTTCCCTTGAACAGATATAGAGATTAACACGCTTCGCGAAACGTGCCACCCCCCTTCCTTGCGTCTCGACCCAGGATGCATGCAGAAGCGTGATTGATACTCCCTATCCCGGCAATTGCACATTCGAAAACACCCCCGCAACACCCCCTATCGCATCTGACTTTCACCTGCCGGAGATGAAGCCTCAGGGCCTGCTGGCCGTCGTCTGCACGATCGGGTCCCTCGCCACGGCCACAGCAGCAACTTCTTTGCCCAATTCGCAACCGCAACCGGCGGTCCATCACACCTATGGCGAGCTGCTGACCCACAACGATCCGGACCCGTTATATGAACAATACGGACTGAATCGATCGGAGGAATTCAAGTACTTCCAGGAACCGGGCAACGATGATATTCTCGGCCACTATGACTCTCGCTTTTTCACCGAGCCCGTCCCAGACGAGGAGCGGTCCCACACCTTGACGCACATGATCCGCGCATATCTGAACTTCTTCGAGGACAATGGGCTCGAGACATGGATCGCACATGGGACGCTTCTCGGGTGGTGGTGGAACGGAAAGGTAAGAAGACCCCTTGCCCCTCCGTGGCGCTTCCTGTTGGCAATCAAAACTCACGGTAGGATGCAGGTCATGCCTTGGGATTGGGACATTGACACCCAAGTGATGGAACCCACGCTTTTCCAACTCGCAGACCATTTCAACCAGACCGTCGTCCAGTACACCGCGAAGGAGGAGAATGTGGAGCGCAAGTATCTAGTCGACGTGAACCCGTGGGCCCGTCAACGCGATCGAGGCATGGGACTGAACATCATCGATGCGCGCTGGATAGACATGCACACGGGCTTATATATCGACATCACGGGGCTGAGCCGGCTGGATGCGACCAAGCCGACGGAGTGGCAATGCAAGAACTTGCACAAATACCAGACCGACGATATCTATCCTCTGCGCCGGACGACCTTTGAGGGGGTGCCGGCTAAGGTGCCGTTCAAATACGACCAGGTCTTGGAGGATGAGTACTCGAAGAAAGCGTTGACAAACACGCATTATCATGAGTGAGTGGATTTTCCGGAATCAAGGACGGGATGTTCGGTTGCTAACGTACCCCTCCTGCGCCAGTCATACTTTTGATCCTGAACTCGAAGAATGGTTGATGGATGAGCCGGAGCCGAAGGAGAAGGAGGACGATAAGGACGACCGGCAGTATGAATGATGCTGATCGTGGAGAGGTATATATTCACTTGAAGTTTTTTTTTTCTTTTTTTTTCTCGTTATCGCTGGGATCATGCATCCATTCAGGCATACTGTTGGGTATATAAAAGGGTGTTGGTGGGCGTTCTGGATGAAATGGGATGGCGTTGGGTTGTCTATAGGGTTATACAGGCCAGTCAATACTATGTAATTGATCTAGTGAAGTGCATTGAATACCGAGACTCAATCGAGTCGTCTTGCATACAGCACTTACCATTGAGCCGATGAAGAGGCGGTCCAGTCGTGCATGTGGAGCTGGAGGTAACATCTCAAACAAGCACTAATTATTGGAGCTCTACTCGAGGCAGCCTACACGTAATCGGATTCAGAATAAGCAGCGACGATCATAACGGGGGGTGCCTGATTCTGGGGCCTGAGGCAGGAGGCCAGGAACGGCTTAGTAACAGGAACGGTGTTTGTGCTTATCTCCATGTGATTTTCTATCTGGCTGACAAAATCGCATCGAAGAAGATCGAATCCCGCCATCATGGAGTCGAGGAGTCGCTTTTCTCTTGTCTTATAACCTTTACACCACGATTTGATCCCTACTATACCCCTCATCCTCCTTCTTATCACCACACCATCGCCCGCCATCATTTCCAACATGTCCGACACGCCCACCCCACCGGTCGAAGACCATGACGTCCGCGAACCTGACACCCCCCACGACGCCGTCGCCGCCGATGAGCATCAGCATCCCCAACTCGAACTCACCATCCACCACCGCAACACGCCTCACACCCTGACCCTCCCCGCAACTGCCACCCTGCACGATCTCACCCTCCAGCTCGAAACCCACCTCAACATCCCCGCCTCCCACCAAAAACTCCTCATCACCCCACCACCCCCGCGCCACCTCATCCCAGGCACTCTCAAACCCCCACTCCCCGCCACACAAGCCGCCCTCCCCCTCACGACAACCCTCCCGCTCACCTCCCCACGCTTCAAACTCACCGTCCTGGGCTCGCCCACCCGCGAAATCACGACCCTCAACGCCCAAGGCGCCGACCAAGCCGCGCGCGAGCAGCGCCGCCTTACCACGCACGCCCAATACGCCGCGACCGCGACCCCGTCCGCCGTCTCCTCCTCCCTCTCCCGCATCCACACCATCTCTTCCGAGAACGACACCTCGCAATACACCTTCCACAGACTCCTCCCCCTGCCCCACCTCCCCAACCCGCAGCGCAGCCACGACTTCCTGGCGCGCCTCCGCGACGACCCCGGCATCAGGTCCGCAATGCGCATCCATAAATTCTCCGTGCCCGTGCTCACGGAGATGGATCCGGTCGAGCACACGACGGCCCACTCGCGGACGCTGGGCCTGAACCGCAACAAGGGCGAGGTGATCGAGTTGCGGCTCCGCACGGATGCGTACGACGGCTACCGCGATTATCGGACGATCCGCAAGACGCTGTGTCATGAGCTGGCGCATTGCGTGCATAGTGATCATGATCGGTTGTTTTGGGAGTTGACGGGGCGGATTGAGAGGGAGGTCGAGAGGGGGGACTATACAAGGAGTGGGCGGGTGCTAGGGGCGAATGGGCCCGGAGGGGATGAGTTCTATAATCCGGGGGAGTGGGAGGCGGTGCAGCGGGAGGGGTTGGTGGTGGATGAGAAGGGGTGGACCGGGGGGAGCTTTGTTTTGGGGGCGGATGGGGGGTCTAGTGCGGGGAGTAGTGGTCAGGGTACTGGAGGTGGAGGTGGAGGAGGGAGTATGAGGGAGATTCTGGCCAAAGCGGCGGAAGAGAGGATGAAGAGGGAGAGGGAGAGGGAGAGGGATGGGCAGTAGAGCATAGCTTGGATGCTTGGATGCTTGGACTCTTTGTCTGTCTGCAGGTATCGTCCAGATTCACTAAATTCTCACGATGTAACGACACCATAATCAAATAAAATCAAACTTGTTCATTCACAAACAACCCCGCCATCCCCTGGCCCGTTCCGATGCACATACTCGTCACCAAGACCCTCTTCTTCGTGCGGCGCGCCTCGCTCAGAATCGTACAGATCTGTCTCGCGCCCGTCGCCCCGAGCGGGTGGCCCAGCGCAATCGCGCCACCGCGGGGGTTGACCTTCTCGTGCTCCAGCCCCAGATTCCGGAGACAGTACACGGCCATCGACGCGAATGCCTCATTGATCTCATACAGCTCGACCTCCTCCTTGCTCAGGCCAAACTGCGCCAGCAGCTTGGGGATCGCCGCCGTCGGCCCGATCCCCATCACCCTAGGCGGCACGCCAGCCACCGTGGCGCCGCAGAACTTGGCCAGGATCGGCTGATTCAACTCGATCGCCTTGGACCTCCGCATCAGCAGCACCGCCGCCGCGCCATCCGTCACCTGACTCGAATTTCCCCCGGTACTCCGATCCCCAAACTGCGGAAACGCCGGCCGGATCTTAGCGAGACTCTCCTTGGTCGTGCCATAGCGCACGCCCTCATCCCGTGTCACAGTCACCGTCTTGACCTCCCCCGTCTTGGGGTCTTTAATCTGTGTCGTGACGGGGACAATCTCCTCGTCGAACCACCCCGCCTTCTGCGCCGCCTCCGCCCGCCGGAACGACTCCGCCGCGTACGCGTCCTGCTCCGCCCGCGAGATGTGGAAGTCCGCCCCGACGTTCTCCGACGTCTGGCCCATCGGCTGCATGCAGTCGGCCGCCTCCTGGTGCCGCATGATTTCTGGAGCGAACGGCTTGGGGATCCGGTCCCCGCTCGGCGCCGACATCAGCTCCGCCCCCACCGCCACCCCGACGTCGATCGCCCCCAGCTGGATCTGGTTCGCGATGTCCTGCACCGCTTTCAGCCCCGACGAGCAGAACCGGTTCACGGAGGAGCCTCCAGCGGTGTGCGGGATTCCGGCCGCTAGCGAGGCCGCCCGCACCAGGTAGGCTGCTTTGCCGTCGTTGACCTGTGAATTCGGTTATTCTTGCTGTTGATCTGTGTATCGTGGGTCCATTGGAAAGCGGGGTGGGTTGGTAGGTAGGGGTTTGGGGGGAGGGGAGAGTTGGGCAGGCAAACGCACATTCCCCAAGCAGACGTCCTCGATCAGACTGGGGTCGATCTTCGATTTGGCCAGCACCTCCTTCAGCAAGGCGTAGATCAGGTAGTCCAGCTCCGTATCCTTGAAACTGCCCTTGACGGCCTTGGTCAGCGGCGTACGGAGCGCCAGAGTGATGACCACATCGTCGGGGTTCTTCTGGGTGCTGGTTTGCGGTTCGTCAGCGGTCAGTATTCACATTGTAGCAATGTACAACAAATTGCTCGAAGAAAGGAGGACGGGAGGAAGTACATGGCAGAAAGTCCGCTGGTTCCGGACGGTTTCAGATGGCTGAGAATGTTGTTCAGACGGTCTGCTGCCATGGTTGGTGCTGGGTTTGCTGTTAGCGTTCGTGCATGTGTAGCTTAGCTTATCCCTTGACGCATATGTTGGAAGGGAAGTGGAGCGGGGGAGACGGAAATCCGGGGAAAAGAGGGCTGCTGCATCGCGGATGTTGTCTTCGAATTAAAGCATGATGGGCGACTTACTGTGCATAAGTTGGTATACCTTGAAATCACCGAGTAGAGTAGGTCGATGAGAAGAGGAAAGAAAGAAAGTAAGAGAAGGGGGAAGGTGTCGAGTTGAAATGCGATGGATGTCTTACTTTACCCCAACCTCTCCAACCGAGCAACAGCCGAGGCTCATTTTTTTGGCCACTGCAGCTGCTGCGCTGCTTCTATCTCCGCACCCTTAACTTCTTATTAGAGCAACTAATCTGCCCCAGACTAGAATGGGATAACCCGAGGTTCCTTGTTGAGACTACTCGCGATCATCATGTGTAGAAAATAATCCATTTTTTCCCCAGCAACCAGCAATTAATTTATCTACAGCTAAGGCCATGGGCGCGTGTACGACCCTGGCAGTTCCGTTGTCCCAAGCTAACACCTTCAAAATAGAGAAGCAAACGCCAATACCTTCCTCCAGCGCCATCCGACTAATGATACGACACCCTGAGTTTTTGTTCCAATTTGCCTACAAGTGATGCATGTGCTCCTCGTTGCTGATCACACTACCCACTTCCGACCAACTGGCCGGGGTGGCCGCGCCAGTCGACCGGCCCAATTCGCTCAAAGTGCCATCGGATGATGCGTCAATCGCAGACTCGTAAATGTGGCTGTAGCTATCGCTGGTAGACGGCGTCGAGGCGCGCTCCCGTTCAAGCTGCAACTCTGCCAAGTCCGAGAAGGGCGATCTCAGATCGCGCCCGGAATCGTTTGTCGTCCAATCCCCAGGGTGGGCGAAGAGCACCTCAGAGTGACCTTCCGTATGGCTAGAAACTGACTCGTCATCTCCGACAACATGGTGTTCGTCCTCTGCATGAGACGACGATAGGAGCGACGCGGCCATTTTGTCAGGGGCTTCAGAAACAGGAGTGAACTCAGCCAGCGAAGGTGAACCAGCACAAGGCGACGGGATATCGAGCTGCAGTGACGGACCTGTCTCGCGAACATCTGTCTGACCGTGAGACGCTTCCAGCAGCGAGGTTTGGGGCCCCTTGCCCCGGTGCACCGGCTGCGACGTCGCCACTTCCACGGCAGTCGAGTTGGCTAAAGGCGTATCACCCGATGAGTCCGCAAGATCCAACAAGCGGCCCTGCTCATCGACCAAAGTATCAAAGCTGTTTGATGGTGGCCTGACCATGCTTTTGCGACGCTCTTCGAGCAGGGAGCGACGCCGGTCAAGCTCTTCCCGAGCTATGCGCCGCCGTTCTTCGGCTGCTGCACCCACTTCCTCGGTCATCGAGATATCCTGTCTGAGCGGAGCATCGTGCGGGTTAATCTCGTCGCCCAGATTGTGCAAGGCTAGTGCGATCTTGCGGCGCGAGTTATTCACCCACTGGCGGAACTGCGGCGACTCGTAGACCGCGATCCCGGCGGCAACCAGCGCCGAGACGGTGATGATAATTCCTGGGTGTGTCAGTATCATGATTCCAGGCTACCTTTCCGTGTAAAGCAGAATCTGTAAATGAAAACTTTGAGTAGAAAACATGATAGACGAGATGAGGAATGCTGGCCGGCTAGACCCGGGGATATCTCATCCATCGTCATCCATCATCAACTGATAAGCACACACCGCCCAGATAACTGACTCTCTTCTTCTCTTGCAACAAGAAGGGGGAAAGAAATGACCCTCAAGAGCAAGCATACCTTTCGCAACGGGCGTAGGCATCGCGACAGAACACCTTTGACCCGAGATTTGTCGGCGAGAGAAAGGGAGAGTCAGATAGCAACAGGAAGGCAGGCAGCAGCAGTAAGGTAGCTAATAAGTGAACTGTTTTGCTGCAGTTCCCGTTTGCTTACCCAATTGGGGTGCCGCCGCTTTTATAAGGGTAGCACGTGAATGATCTGTGTACGCTCTAGGATACTTACAGATTACTTACAGAGCACATACCTAGGAACTCTAATTGAGGTTGCAGATCAGTTGTGTCGTTTTTTAGCGTCGCGTGGAACGAAACCTGCTTAATAAGCATAAAGAATCATGTGACTTCCAACTGACCTTTTATTTACATAACTTTAAAATTACATTCCACATCATCTTTTTATTACTTTTACATATACTATTTTTAAGTTACTTTTCTTCTAAGTACTCTCTAAGTACTTGGAAAGTACTTAGAAAATATTTATTAAATAATATTAATTATAAAGTAATATCTTAATATATTTGAAGTAAGAAACTACTTAGTAAGTACTTAGAAGAAAAGTAACGTAAAAGTAGTATGTGTAAGAGTATTTAAGAATATAAGGGGAATTTGAATTTCAATAATAAAAAACAGTAATTTATAGGGTTGTGTGGAACAAAAGCTGCTTAGTAATAGCCTTGGCATCACGTGCACGACAAACGTTCCACGCCACCCCAAAAAAGAGCTGCCGTGACCTGTGTTCACACTCTAAGCAGGATTGGGTCAATCTCATTCACTTAACCATGGTCTGGATGCTTTACCACCTCACGTGAGTTAACCGGTTCTGATTTCATCTCCCCTGTAGCTTCTAAGTCCACGTTTGAAAGAAAGAAGAGAGAACAAAAGATGAAAATAGATACTGAGACATAATGAAAAAGCTTTACACTATGTTTAAAATATTCCTCCCACTTATCACTCCGCCAAAAGTCCTGCCACGCATTGCCATATATCGGTTTCTTATTCGTGTCCATTATTCCGGCAGTCTTGATAGTCTTGATCACAAACAGAAAACAAGATCCCCACAATAAGCAGGATGAATTTCTGTTCGCCTTGCTGAGTGGTGTCCATTTCATGTTACTAAATCCATTCACGACACTCCTTACTCTGGGCTCAGTGTTCTGTCAGGCAGCAAAGCTCAGGAAAGGTCAGCCGCCTCAGCGAGCATTGAGTCCAGTAGGACTTGCGGCACAAGCAGGAGTGTTCTCAGTTCTGGCTATCACTTGGCCTTTGCGGGTGACATATCTCGGCTCTAGTTGGGATATCTACACATCATGGTTTACGATCTATAACTGGTATATCTTCGTCGGTTGGCCGGCCGTGGACAATGGGGTCTTTGCTCTAGTCCAGGCATCTCTGTTGTGGGTGGCATGGAAAAATCAGCATTGCCAGTTGACTCCGGAAGATGAGAACGAGCTGCTACTTGCGGGTAGTGATAACGTCTAAGTGCGCCATAATGATTCCATTTCAATAAGTATGCCCGGTTGAGGATAGATTGGGTTGAATTCCAAACTTCTCAGTCTCAGTCCACGACTGTAAATTCCACCAGGTTTGAAGCCGGTATCATAACCTCTGGCCGCCCGTCATTGTTGGGTGGATCGACGATCGCTCCTCCCAGACCAGTCAATGTTATACTTGTATTCTTATGATCCTCCAATGTTCCCCAATTCCACCAGGCTAGCTTGCATCCCTCGAATCGGTATCGAATAACCTCTCCGACACGGGCATCTGCTGGTAGAGACAGCTCACACTCAAGCGGCCACACGTCATGCCACGTCTCGTGGGGCTGCAGAGTCATGAACGCATTGCTCGTCCCCACCGTGCACTTAATTTCGTCGTCCCCAAACCCCGGATAACCACACGCAGCAGTACTAAGCCAAGCACCCCATTCCCCAGTACTACCCCGACGCCGATAGGCGGACATTACCCCCCACGCGTACAAATCGCCGACCGAGAACGTGATCGGTCGTGGGGACTCCTCTCCCGACACCCCATGATATGTGAGCTTTATGGTCAAGGGTAAGTTTTCCAGTACCTTCCATGTTGCTGGAGCATCCAGCTCGAGACGGAGGATCGGAGTACCTGGGGTACTTTGGCGCTCTCGCATCAGTTGTGGTCAGCATTTCCTCATTAGAGGAAGGGTGGCAAGAGGAAACTCACACACTACTGACACCTGGGTCCGTTGGTTGAGGCGGCAGCGGCGGCACATTGCCATCCACCAAACTGAACGCACATCTGGCACCGCCTGGGAGGACGATTGGGGTGGACTTAGGCACCAGCTCCCGGCGGGCAGAAAACCCCTTGTCTCCCATGCTTGTGCCCCAGTCCCACAGATAGACCTGCCCCCCCGGCCAAAACAGCACGTACGTGACCGACTCACTTTTTTCCAGCTTGCGGAACATGTTTTCACCCAGACTGACGTCCCACGACACTGAATCTTTGTCCGCGCTCAAGGACCATAGGTGGAGTTGGTCCGATTGCTGCGTCGCCGGCGAGGGAGAACCCAACTTCACCACCACCACCACCTCCTCCACCTCCTGCTCCTGCGCATCCGATTCCTGGGTGCGAAAAACCCGAAACCCCTCGTCTGTGCTCGGAGACCAGTAGAAATAACATGGCTTGTGCCGGTTCTCGGAAGGTTCGCACTCCCCAAGTCGCTTGACAGTCAAGGTGAAGAAATTCCCGGTTGGATTCAGGGTATAGAAGTTTCGCGGCCCAATGAGAGTTACCTCCAGAGCCGGAGTGTCAGGACTGTAATGCGCAGCCGCTGCATCAGCATCTTTTTAGAGTCTGCCTATCGCCGAGAGTACTCTCATACTGTCTGTTTTCATCGGAGAACCTCAGGTAAGGTACAAAGGAGGTGTCCATATTTTCTGCTTCCCTTTCTTGCTTATTCCTCCTTCGGTGCAAACTAGTGAAACCAACGAGTAAACTTAAAGTGACCCCTTCAAAGGGGGATTGAGGGGGAAGATTACAAGGATGCAAAGATATTCTATATGTTTAGGCTATAGGTAACATAACCCGCGATTGTCCCAACTTCCACCACCCCTCCTTTTTATTTCTTACGCGGAATTACGATTACACAAATATATAGAACTGTGTACTGTGGTACTGTGACTGTGAGCCTCACATCCGTTCCGTTCCGCCCGGCAACTCCTCCGGGCTACCGCTGCTTGACAGATTTACCCCATTGCTCAGTGCTCACTCTTTGGGATGATCGATGCCCGTTCTACCCGCCCTACGGCGGACGATTACCGCCATCGGACACCGGCGAGACGAAAGTAAAATAGATAATATTAGTAGTATATATTTAATTTGGGTTATATAACTAGATTGTATAAACTTAGGCATACGGTCAGGGTGACAGTCACTTTTCTAAATCGACTCCCGGATTAATCCGGGATTGCTTAGGAATTGCTTAGGACACGTACTTTTGTGCTCCTTCCACGCTCCGGGCCGCTTAGTGAGCAAAAAGCGGCGCTAAGTTCGACCTAAAGCAGAAAGGGAAAGTCGCTCGATTTCCGCAGCAATCCAGTTTAATAGTTGACTTTTGGGAAGGGAATCACCTGTTGCTTCCGCCCCTCGCCGCCACATGACATTGGCTACCCTTATCCGACTGCCCTAGCGGGCTATCACGTGCTGCTGCCCCTCCGCGGTCTGTCAAAACAAACAGCTGCAACAACAGCAACCAGCAACCTTGTATACAAGCACTCCTTACATCGAACCAGTCAACTCTACAAACCGGCCGTTGCACACTTCACCATGTCGCGCCCGTCGTCTATGGCCCAGCGTCCGCTGACACTCACGGAAGAGCTCGAGAAGCTGGAGCAATCCATCACCCTCACCCTGCAGGGTAACTATGGACAATCCGCATCAGATGCCTCCAACCAGTCAGTCGACTGACATTGTCTCCTGCAGAGATCGACCACAACTTCAGCCAAGCTCATCGTATCGTCACAACCAGCATTCTACCCCTGATCGAGCAATACTCCGAGAGCTCCCGCGACGTCTGGGAAGGTGCCAAGGTATGGCATACAATAGACACCCCCACATCGCCACGTCCACTCATCACTAACGCGCCATCAACCCCAGTTCTGGAAACAATTTTTCGAAGCCAGCGCCAACGTCTCACTCTCGGGCTACGAAGAGAAACCCGAAGACACCACCACAGCGCTACAAGAGGATTCGGACCAGTCCCTCATCGCGCACGAGCGAGACACGCAGCTCACCGCGCAACAAGACGAATCGCACCTCAGCCTCGACGACCACCGCGAGCACGAACCCGAATTAGAGTTGACAGCCCTCAGTCTCTCCTCCCACAGCACCCCGCGCCCCTACGCATCTCACCACCACCACCAAGGCAACCAACAAGCCAACGACACGACCGTCACCTCCATCGCGCACCCTTCTCCATACCCCTACGACCTCCACCCAGGCTCCCTGCCCGACGACAGTGATACCCGCGACCTCGCCCGCGCCGCCGAACTCGCCGACGCAGAGAACGAAGACTCCTTCCTCCCCACCACCCCAGGCAAATACTCCGCCTCGGCCTCGGCCTCGCGCACCTACCGCTCCACCCAACAACAGCAGCAGCAACAACAACAATACCCCTACCACCACGACGAATCCCACACCCCCCTCTCATCCTCACCCTTCATCCCACCCGCCCCCACAACCACCCATGAAGCTTACGAGAACAACAACAACAATAACAACAACAACGATGACGATGAATATCATGAAGACCCCATCCTGCACCGCTTCCACGACAAGACCTACCGCGTGCAAGCCACCCCACTCTCCAAGAAACGGCAACCACTCAAACACTACCTCTCCACCTCGAAATCCATCAAATTCACCAATCCCATGTTCAACTCCTCCACCACCCCACAGAAACCCCCCGCCAAGAAATCCAAATACTCCTTCGATTCCTCCCCGATCTCCAGCCCAGAGCCCGAGGCCCCGCAACTCCACGCCGAGATCTTCGATTCCCCATTGAAAGGAGGGGCCAGGGCCGCCCAAACGCCCAACACCGGCCGCAGCAAGCGGCGGCCGAGCGCCCAGCACCCGTACTATCCCCGCGTGACCCCCAAGCCCGGCATGAGTGTTCTCACCCCGATGAAGGGTGGGACCGGTCGGCCGGGTGGCGCGGGAGGGTGGGATAGCGACGATGATCTTGATGGGATTGGCAGTGGCTACGGCGGCGGCGGTGCAGCGTTCAGTGACGAGGACGAGGATCTGGGTCCCAGCCCTCCGAAGACGATGCAGTTCCACATTCCGCAGAGTCGGTTGATGAAAACTCCTGGTTAGTATTCTCTTCTTCTTCTTTACACATGCAAGCAGAAGAAAGTGTACGGTAGCATTGAAACTAACCGCAATTCTCCCCAAAAACTACAGCGAAAGAAGCGTCCAGGCGGATCGTGGAAGACTTGTTGTTCACCGCCGGAGCGAACGATACCACGGAGGATATCGTGGCGGAGCAGAGTCCGAGCGTGATCCGACGGGTGGAGAAGCTCGAGGATGAGACTTTCTAGGATCGAAATCCATATACTGCTAGCCATAGCCATGCACGGCTGTTTCTGCTACGGAGAGACTTAAGTGTGCTGTACTGTATATACCAACCCAACTTGTCTCGCGCTTCGTCGCTGGGTAGCTTCCCTTTGCAGTCGTCCCTAGCAGACTATCACGGATTGTCACTGGGCAAAGTATCATCGTACTTCACAACAGGGCGTAGATTATCCCAAACCAAGACTGTCTTGTCTAGTCACTCAATCTCCGCTCCTTTCCATCTCTACACTGGAATCAAAAATTCTTTCCAAGCGGTCCAACGTGACCAGATCAATTAGTAGTGGGGTCTGGGGCATTCCAATCCGCCACCAGACCACGCGCCCCTGGCTGCCATTACCGGCGAATTAGGTGTAAACTAGCTTCGAACCTGCGGGATCACTCGAAAGGAAAGGTACAAGGGAAAGAACAGGGATCAGAAAATAAGGGTGATCAGATTACAAGATCAGGGGTTGAGAGGGCGTGAAGTCAGGATGAATAGACACAAAAAAAGGGTATCGACGGGGGCTGATGACGATGACGATCGTCAGACTGTCAGAGAAGGGTGGTAGACAAGAAAGAGGAAAAGAACACACAGATCGTCCACGCCAACGTGGTATATGTATGTACAACAAAGGTTTTTGTCGCCGCAATTGACAGGAAACTGGAAGGGTATTCTAAACTAAACAAATGAACCAAAGCGTCGAGGAGTGGGTCAGAGGATCATCCCCTCCGGGCCAGTCAAGCAGGGCCGGCGCTGGTGCCGGACCAGGCGAAAACCAGGCATGATGACTGAAGGTCAGTCATCAATTCTGCATGCCCATGAAGATCTCCTGACAGTTGTCCACCAAAAACTTCATCACCTCATTCTTCTTCTGCACATCCGTCATTTCCCGTGCCAGACTTTCCGGCCGCATGATGGTCGGAGCAAACACTACAGCGATGTTCTGGCTGGTCATCAGGTTCTCTTTCTCGCGCTCGACCACGCGCTTCAGGTGGAAGATCAGGAACTCAAGCACATCCTGATGTACACGTGGCAGTTCACGCAGGCTCTTTTGCAAAGACTCGATGCGACCCGCCTGAGAGGTGATTTCACCCGTCTCAATGATGTTCTCGTAAACCTCGAATGTGATGAGTGGCGTAGGCAACTTCCGGAAATACTGCTTTAGCGCCGAGGTCACTGCGTGGATATCGAGGTCCGGATCAGAGATATCGTAATCGTGTGGGGATCGCTCAAAGCCCTCGCGAATCGTCTGAATTGCTGAGCTAGCACCGGACTTCCGATAGATACCTTCCATGTCCATGCCTAATAGAGTCAGTACAGGCCTACCAATAGATTGAGAAGAAACATACCTCGTAGCTCGACTTCCTGGATGCAGCGAGAGACAATGCCAGGAATGATACTCTTTTCTTGCTCCATGCGCTGCTCCAACTCGGTACCAAAGAGCGCTGGGAAAGTAAGCATGATATGATGACAAACGCGAAGGAGCGGAACGTACCATTAGGATTGGTTTCAGCCAGAACTGGAACGCTGTCGGTGGTCGGCATCCGAGTTCCAACCTGCTTGCTGCGTTGATTGCCAAAGAACCCGAAACCCGGACGGCTAGGGTCTTGAGTCTGAGAACGCGGCAAGCCAGGGCTTCCTTCCGTGGCAGTGGCATTTTCACTTGACATGAAGGCACCCTTGAGTCCCTTGGTAACGCCCTTGGCGACGTTTTGACCACCCTTCTTCCAGTTAAACTTACGCGGCTGTCCTTTTCGGATACTGACGACTTGCGGGCCGGGCACAATAGTCGCGTTCTCGGCCTCTTCCGACAAGTTGATAGCCGTGACTGGAACGAGATCGCTGTGGGCTGCCTTCAGAGCTTCAATGGACGACAGTGACTTTTCCTTGCCATGGGAGTAGATACCCAGGCCATTTGCCCCACGGCTACCGTCGTTGGCCTTATAGAGTTCTTGGATCTGGTGCACCAATTGGTTGTTGAGCTCTGCAAGCTGCGCATTCTTCGACGACAACTGTTCAAACTCCTGGAAGCTCTTATCCTTCATGCGGTTCAAATTGGTCAATTCTTCGGCGGCATCGTTGCGCTTCTGTATCAATTCCTCGACCTGTGGAGTGAACGAGTCCTTCAGCTTCTGAATCGACTCCACAAATTCTCGCAAAACATGGTTAGTCAATTTGCCAAGGTCGAGAGAGCCGCCGCCACCACGCTTCTCGGCCTCGAGATGTTCTGTCAACACGGACAACTCGCGCATAGCAATCTCTTTCTGAGCGTCCAAGACCACCATGGTGGAGCGCTTCTCATTTAGTTCAGTGTTAACCTGCTTGACCTCGGCGCTAGCATTCAGCATAGCCTCCATCTCCGCGATCTTCTGCTCGCGGTCGAATACTCGTTGACGCTCCTTGCGAAGTTCGTTGCGAAGCCAAGTCACCTCGTCAGGTCCGGCTACCTCCGCAGAGGGGCTCCCGAAGTCGGCAAGTGGCGTAGATCCATTCACAGGCGAGCGAGGCCATTTGGCATCGCGGGACAGGCGAGAGCCTTTGTCGCTGTAGCTTCGACCATGACGCACCGAGTTGGAAACGCGCCGCAAGAAGGATTCGCCGTTCTGAGCCACGGAGCCATCATTGGCGCCTATGGTTTGAGATGTCTCTCCGTCCGTTGAGAGATCCACACCATCGCCCTGGCGGTAGGAGTCCACTTGCTGTAGGGCACTGATTGAGTTGGGGCGTGCGGGAGGCTTGGGGCGCTCATGAACATCGCTACGTGGCGTCCATGTCGAGTCTCCCGTGCGAGGAGTACTCTTACTGAATCCAGCCCGATCTGCTGACCGCTCACTCCACTGCTCACTCGGACTCAATGAAGAAGCACGAGGTGACAAAGGTGCGTCCTTCCTTGGGCCCTGGTTCAATCGTCGGTCGAGGGAGTCGCCACGCTTGGGATGAGGCTGCACGCTCGAAGAGGACAAGAAGGAATGTGCGGAGTCAATGGAGCCGCTAGTTTCGTGAAGTCGGCGTAGCTCATGAGATGGTCTTGTTGGAAGTGTGGTCATGCTCTCTGGAGCTGTTGCTATTGAGCCATCTCTTGGAACAGTGGTTGTCGACTTGGTGCTCTCAGGGCTAGGCGAGGAAAATGTACTGGCTTCCTTGCGACCTCCTAGGTCGGAGCGAGAACTACGCACCGAGCCAGACCGCGTGACAGGCGTTCTGTCACCACGAGACGTGCCGTTGGCCAACTCGTCCTGACGCCAACGAGTAGCATCTTCGATCCGCTCCCGGCCTTTCTCCTGGTATGCGATATGGGGGGATGAGCCTCCCGACGTAGGGTTTGGTTGTACGCGAGATCTTTGTTCTTCGGAGGGGTCAAAAGCGAGGGGAATCAGGAATTCGCCGCCATCGGCCTCGGTATGCGGAGGCACAATTGAATGACGATTGCTGCGATAGGTGCTTGACGGGAGTATTAGATTGTCTGCATCTGTCAGCTCTTTTCTCACCATGAGATAAAGGGTTGGCGCATAACGTCAGAGGCCAACTGACCTTGGTTTTCTGCCGCGGGACGAGGTGTTGAGCTGGGACCTCTTCCCGCGTCCAGCGCGGGAGCAGCTCGCGCAGCGGTATCCCCGCTAGGCATGGAATAAGCCTCTTGGTCGTCCGAGGCGCGCGAGACTGGCTCCATTTCTTCCGGGGGCAATGACGGCAGGGACTTATCTAATTTCACCCCCGGTGGTCCCTGTTTTCGCGAGGGGGCCGCCTTTCGTTTTCTCCGCCGCTGCATTAACGATTCATGACAGTCCATACAGAATATACCCTGCGAGGTGCGGGCATAACGCAGGTTCTCGATCTTCCGCTTGCAGTTGCGGCAGCGGAAGCATTGGGCGCAGAAAGCTTGTTCACCGGTGAGGATGGCCAGGTCCTCGATCTTGTTCCCACACGAGCTACAGCTGTAGGTACAGTTGCTGCAGATCAACGAGCCATCGCCAAGCAGAAGGAGGTGCGCGTCTGAGTCGAGTAGCGTGCCACAGGTGCTGCAGCAGAAACATTCGATATGCCATCGGTTGCCCGCTAGATCACAAGGAAGGAGGCAGTCAGCCACCGGCTCAGAGGCCATCATAACCACGGAACAAGAAACTCACCAAGCTCAAAGGCTTTGCCCTCTTCAAGAATCTATTTGAGCGAGAAGCCTTCTTAGTGTCCGAGTTCCAAGCCCCGTAGTCTGTGTGTTTTGCTGGGTTCATACCTCTCCACAGCCCTTGCAGGGGAAGGGAATGTCATCCTGATCCAAAGGAGACTCAGGATACCCCGGGGATTCCATCTCGAATGCGGTTTATTGGGTAGCGAGCGACCGTTGAAATGGTGATGGTGGCACAAATGCCAATTCCAGTGGGCGTGAGAGACAAATCTCCAGGAAGGGAGTGGGAGGCGCGCTCGCGAAACTCAAGCCAGAACCGGTTGAGAGACTTATTTGGGGAGTTGATAAGGCATTCGACTTCCGATGAATAAAATTGGTGATCTTAGAGTCGACGATAATTATGATTGCAGCTATAGAGGAGGGCAAGGTAGGCGAAGGGAAGCTAGACCGGGGGACGAATTCGAGCGCGGCACGGACTTGCTAGCGGATGGAGGATGGATTCTCATTTACGAAGGGAGTCTAACGAGAAAGAATTAATTTCAGGACGAACAGCCGATCGATCACGGCCATAGTGGAGAGGATGAAATAAGGTGGTGAATGTTTGAGATAACGTAAATTGGTAGGATGAGAGGAGGGGGGGAGAAGTCCTGAGCAAGAAATGTTGAAAGTTGCGCTGAGACGGGCCAGGGGTGCGAGGAGGGGG